GTTGCAGCTGTCATTGTTGTTTGGCAGGCCGGGGCTGGATTCGAACCTGCCATCTTAGGTATATGTGGCTGGCACCTTAGCCACTTGAGCCACAGGTGCTGAGCCAGAATGGATGTTTTGATACAAATCTCATCCACTTTCCTGCTGCTGTCCTATGTCTGTGATCTATTTAGGTATTTGGCACAGGGCCTGGTATGTCATACCAGGTCTAATAAATATATAGCTAATATACGTTTTTTTGAGACAGTTTTATTATGTCACCCTTGGTAGAGTGCTGTGGCATCACTGCTCACAGCAACTTCCAACTCTTGGGCTTAAGTGGTTCCTTTGCCTCAGCCTCCCAGGTAGCTGGGATTACAGGTGCTCGCCACAATGCCTGGCTATTTTTTGTTTGTCATTGTCATTGTTGTTTGGCAGGCCAGGGCTGGGTTGGAACCTGCCAGCTCTGGTATATGTGGCTGGCGCCCTAGCCACTGAGCTATAGGCACCCAACCAGGATATAGCTAATATTACCCTCCTTTCAAATTCTGAAAGGCAGAGTGACAGAGAACCTGTCTCCTTTAGATATTAAGAGGTTATGATGCCAATAAAAATACTGTAACATTGGTACATGGATCAAAAGGGAACACAGAAATACAATATTGCATTAATTTCCTAGGGATGTCATAAAATACTACAGATCGGGTGGCTTAAACAACAAACCTTTTCACAATTCTAGAGGCTAGAGGTCTACAATCAAGGTATTGGTCAGTAGGTTCAATTCTTTGGGGGTTTTTTATTTGTTTGTTTTTGAGACAGAGTCTCAATTTGTCGCTCTGGTGTCAGCCTAGCTCACAGCAACCTTGAACTCCTGGGCTCAGATGATTCTCTCACCTTAGCCTCCAGAGTATTTGGTACTATAGGCACCCACCACAACACTCAGCTAGTTTTTCTATTTTTAGTATGGATGGGGAGTCTTACTCTTGCTTTTAAGCAAGACTGATCTTAAATTCCTGAAGCCAAGGTCTCCTCCATCTCAGCCTCTCAGAGTGCTAGGATTATAGGTGTGAGCCACTGTGTCTGGCCAGTAGGTTTAAGAAAACAAACTCTCTCTCCTTGGTTTGTAGATAGCTGCCTTTTGTGTCCTCATAGGGTCTGTGTTCACACGTGTGTCCAAATCTTAGCCCTTTCCCCCAAATATCAGTCCAAATGTTCAATAGCTTTACAGATGCCAGTGTCTACTGGAGATGCCCGCCACTGGCCCTGGTCAGCTCCATCATCTTCTCCAGTACCACTTCTACAGATGGCAAGCCCTGGGCCACATCTCCTTTGAGCTGTTTGCAGACAAAGTTCCAAAGACAGCAGAAAACTTTCATGCTTCGAGCACTAGAGAGAAAAGATTTGAGTATAAGGGTTCCTGTTTTCATAAAATTATCACAGGATTTATGTGCCATGGCTGGTGGGGTCTTCAAATGCCACAATGGTGTTGATGGCATATCCATCTATAGGGAGAAATTTGACCTAAAAACATACAAGTCCTGACATTTTGTCCATGGCAACTGATGGATCCAATACAAATGGTTCTCAGTTTTTCATCTATACTGCCAAGGCCGTTTAGATCAGCGGTTCTCAACCTGTGGGTCGAGACCCCTTTGTAACAATGAAAATACATCGTGGCATTGGGAAGGTTGAGAACCACTGGTTTAGAAGATAAGCATGCATCTTTGGTAAGGTGAAGGAGGGCATGAGTAGTGTGGAAGCTGTTACCAGCCACTGTCAACCTGACTGGCCATTTCATGCAGAGCTGTGGTGGTCAGGCTGTGGCCAGGCCAGATGAGCCTACATGCTAACATCTGGAGATTGTTTATTTGCTTTCAAGGCCTATTGTCATATATAAGTTGGGAAATTGGACTCCATGGTAGCAGTTAAGGGGGTCCAGGGCACCAGCCAATACACTTGGTGAAGCACTAATTGGCTGTAAATTTAGTCTAACTAAAATACCATGAAGATACAGTCACCTTGAAAGAAATACTTTGACTTTTTTTTTTGAGGCAGAGTCTCACTGTCACCCTCTGTAGAGTACTGTGGCGTCACAGCTCACAGCAACCTCAAACTCTTGGGCTTAAGCAGTTCTCTTGCCTCAGCCTCCCAGGTAGCTGGGACTACAGGTGCCTGCCACAATGCCTGGCTATTTTTTGTTTGTCGCTGTCATTGTTGTTTGGCAGGCCAGGGCTGGGTTTGAACCCACCAGCCCTGGTGTTATGTTAGGTGGTTGGTGCCCTAACCACTGGGATACAGGTGCCAAGCCAAAATTTTTTGACTTTATAACGTATGGGGAGGAGAGCTTGTTTGATGTATAGCACGCTAATGGACAACACCGCTGATGTATGTCTGTACTATTTTCTATAAACACAGAAAAGAGAAATAAGAGGGCAGAACAGCTCTTTGAGGAGATACCTTGCTATTCTCTGGAATTGCTGACTTTTCTGTAAATAGAAGTAAAACAGTTGATCTCTCATCTGCTTCTCTGTTGACTGGCATGGGTGACAGGTGGACAGACTCCTTGGTCTGGTAACAAAGCCATGGAGCACGGAGTCCAGGAGTGGCAAGACCAGCACGACAATTACCTCTGCACATTGTGGACAACTCTAATAATTTTGAATTTTTTTTGTTTTGAGATAGTCTCACTATGTCACCCTCGTTAGAGTGCTGTGACGTCACAGTTTACAGCAACCTCAAATTTTTGGGCTTAAGAAATTCTCTTGCCTCAGCCTCCCAGGTAGCTGGGACTACAGGTGCCTGCCACAATGCCTGGGTATTTTTAGAGTCAAGATCTCGCTCTTGCCCAGGCTGGTCTTGAACCTGTGAGCTCACTCAATCCACCCGCCTTGGCCTCCCAAGTGCTGGGATTACAGGCATTAGCCACCTCGCCCAGCCTTGTTTTTGTCTGTTTGTTTTGAGACGGAGTCTCAAGCTGTCACTCTGGGTAGAGTGCCATAGTGTCACAGCTCACAGCAACCTCCAACCCTTGGACTTAAGCAATTCTCTTTCATTAGCCTCCCAAGTAGTTGGAACTACAGGTGCCCGCCACAACACCCAGCTATTTTTTTGTTGCAGTTGTGATTGTTGTTTGGCAGGCCTGAGCTGGATTTAAACATGCCAGCTCTGGTGTATGTAGCTGGTGCCCTTAGCTGCTGAGCTACAGGCACAAGCCTTGATTTATGTTTTATCTTAAC